TAATGTCCTGCCAAACAAAAACTTGAGAAAGTAAGCTTGAATATCCAATTTGGCAACTCAAACTCCCAAAGGAGCTACACTGCATTTCAGTTTGTAAAGCAAATTTGCCATATCAGCTGCTGTAGCTGCAGTGGTACAAAGTGACTGAACAGGCCTCTTTGATTTGCATCTGTAGTCAGTAATTTTTTTAATTAACATGTATGATTTGGTAGTTATTAAACAACTTTCCCTGATGTATCTAAAATGCTACCTGCAAAATTTCTGAGTATAAGAAACATGTTTTGAGAAATTATCTAAATCAACAAAACCCATGAATCTGCACTGTTCTGACAGGGCCAGCCCTAAGATGAGGCAGTATGAGGCAGCTGCCTCTGGCAGCAGATGCTGAGATGCAGGGAGTGACCAGAGCTATGAGTGCCACGTGACCTACCCTGTACTCCCTATGCTAGTCTGCTGTCCTCAAGCGAAGTTCAGGACACTGTCCTTTCACCAATATTGCATCAAGATTCAACTTCCAATCCAATTGGCTTCTTATGTGCCTTGGGGGAGGGCACTACTTTGTCCTTTGCCTCAGGCAGCAAAATGTCTTGTACTGGCCCTGTGTTCTGAACAAAGTGGACAGAATACAAGCTCGTGGGATGGTAGCTAATCAAGTCTTATTTGGTATAGACAAAGCAAAATCAATGTGAAAGTCAACCAAGTGCATTGATTCCAATGGTCTACTCTGAGTATGATTTAATTAGCTATAACCCTACACATACAGACACACGAGAGATAAACATTGTTATTAAACAAGAATGATAAAATCTAATATAAAGTTAGAAATTCCATAAGAAATAGTATTTCCTCTCCACTCGTATCCATTGAAAATATCACCTATGAGCTTGAACTCTTTTAAAATTTATGAGCCATCTAACTTTCAACCTGACCTTGCTTTACGGAATATATCTCTTAAAGTTAACAGTTAACAACCAAAACTAATGGTGGGCCCCAGAAACTGCAGTTTGACACAGTTGATAGAGAACACAGAATTTCCCCTTTGAACAATGAAGCAAGAAAATTGCATAGCATAATTTCAGGAGTTTTCTTAACATAACAATGCATAGTACCCATTATGGTTCATTAAAGTGAAACCATGTTTAGGATATGACAAGGTTATATGTTCCAAGTACCCAAAGGCTTAGGAAATGCATTTTTAAATGAGAAATGAATCCTTTTTTTGACATCAATGAACAGTAATGCACTCAAACTTTTATAAAACACTTGCTTCTGTCAGCAACAGATTCTGAAAGCACTTTTGAATATCAGCAGGGGGAAAGGGGGGTCTGGAAATTGTTAAATAAATATACAGCAACTTCTTCAGACTACTGAAGATTTATACTGCAATACTGTAAAGCTTTAAGATCAATGTGTCAAGAGGTTTGAGTTAGATTAGCAGGACTAGAAATATAATTCAAATTCATGGATGACCTGAATACTTTCAGTTCTAAAAGTCTGTGTAAAGAGTATCACATAAATTTGTATTGAGATTTTAAGTATCTGAAGTTTTACATCAAACACTGTGGATGTATACTACATATCCAGAAACAGAAAAGATAGTCAAAGCTTAATCCAACACACTACCACCAGAGTCGTGCTCAAGTTGTCATGCAGGAATTGCAGATACTCAAGGTTACCAAGATCTCTTCACCTTCAGGTGGAGCTTTTTATGGTTACTCATAACATGGCATTGCGCATATGCTCATGTTATTCTTTGCTTCATCATATATCCCAGACATGAGGCCATCCTCAGAGGCCCAGTTCTAGGGCAGATCCATGGTTATCTGCACAACTGGGAAAGGTATAGGTAACTGGCGTATTTCAGTAGCTATCACCCATATGAACCTGTTAGAAAAGTACAGATAGCCACATGCATTTCTTTAATGCAAAGGAAATGCTAACATGAACATACAGATTGATGTATTAATCTTTTTCCCCCATCACTGAAGGAATTATCCATGCCTGACTGAGAGAAGGTAAACTGACAACACTAAATAAATACAGTAGAACAATTCATATCCACAAAGCTGCTACTCCCTCTTCAACTGTTCTGTATCTTGCTTCGATTGAATCTGTCATAGCTAAAATATGTAGTATCAACATATTTTGGTGATAAAGAAGATTGGTCTGAGTTCAGGACTAAAGAGCAAACTCTCTTCCCCACTACTCCAGCTCACTCACAGTTCATAGCCCATACATATGTGGTAGGCTTTACTCCTTCCTGAGACTGACTGTAAAGAGGCTATCTAGAACTAAAAAAGAGAAAGAGAGAAAAGGGCATGGATGAGTGAAAGGGCAGTAAAGCAGCCCACATGCCTCCAACTATCTTCCTTACAGTGGTACTAAATTTGTTGCATACACCCTTAGTAATGAATGTGTTAATAAAATAGAACTGACACAAATATCACAACACAAAAAATGCCATCAGATACTACTACAGTGCAATGCTGCATAGTGCTACTCAATTGTTGCCACACAATACATGCATTAAGATGTTAATCTGGTTCAGATATGCAGACTTCTCTGTTAGGAGTTTGTAGGAAAGTGGAATGTGATGAAGGTGTGTGGGTTGGGGAGAAAATTACATCAATGCAGTGGTGAAATTCCTAAAAGGATTTGCATTGCAGTTATCGCATCTGTACTCTAGGCAAGCTGCTGAATAAAAAACAGAACAGAGCCAAAATAACATTCTCTGTCCCTTTAAAGACAGATATTTGAAGAATGGTAGGTTCAAATCAGCAAGCAAATAGCTTATGGAACTTCTACCAGCAAATGAGAATGATCTGCTATGAGTAAGGGTGCAAGCCTAACAATAGATTCACTGGGAAGACTGAGTTAAGACATAGTAGATCTCCAGCTCAGCCAGCAGGTTCACAGCTCTGTCATACTACGCTGGCATAAGTAACCAATCCTGGCTCAGACAGAGATACTCCAGTATAACTTTCTCATTGTAGTCCAGCTGGGGCTAAGCCGACTGACATGAGACTGGCTGAACTTATGCCAGCACATGCCCTGAAAAATGGGCATTCCAGGTGAGTAGCGAGGGCAAGACCAGGCAAGGGAAGACTTATGCTGGATCCTAACGCCATTCAGCTTGGTTATGTGACCTGGCAACCCACCGGAGCAAAAAAGAGGGGTGCAAATCAGATGCTATTTTAAAGGCTTGTTTTCCCTTTGCTAGGCTTCTGGATGGAGTTTGGATCTGGTGCACTTTATGCTGACTTAATTTAAAGTGGCTTAATTACACTGGCTTCCAATATTTAGGACTACTCCCTAAGAGAGCGTGTCACAGGTACATAATCTATAAAAGGTAAAGGGACCCCTGACCGTTAGGTCCAGTCGCAGACGACTCTGGGGTTGCAGCGCTCATCTCGCTTTACTGGCCGAGGGAGCCGGCGTACAGCTTCCGGGTCATGTGGCCAGCATGACTAAGCCGCTTCTGGCAAACCAGAGCAGCACACAGAAACGCCATTTACCTTCCCACAGGAGTGGTACCTATTTATCTACTTGCACTTTGACGTGCTTTCGAACTGCTAGGTTGGCAGGAGCAGGCACCAAGCAATGGGAGCTCACCCCGTTGCGGGGATTCGAACCGCCGACCTTCTGATTGGCAAGCCCTAGGCTCTGATTGGCCTGCCCTAAGCCACTCGTGTCACTGTTACATAATCTATAACCAGCTATAAATATGCTTTAGCAGCACACTACCCCTATAAAGGGTATAGCAAAAATAATACCACAAAACTAATTCCACAGATCTACTTGTATGAAAAAACTGTGGACAAATGGTCTTTTTATGTGCAGCATTAGCAATGCACTCAAATATACTACAAATATCAATAAAATGCCTGAAGGCCAATAAAGTTCAAACAAGACACGCTAGTAACAGACCCACAAATTAAAACTCAGTTGCAGTCAAATCCCTATAAAAGTGAGAAGTCTGACTGGGGGAAATTCAAAGAGCAGAAGGCACAGGTAAGAAGAGGTTGCTGAACACTTTCCCTCACTTTCCCTTTTTCCTGGATCCTCTTTTCCAGAGCCATTTTTCTCCCTGCGGTTACTTCGAGACCACCTGTTTCTTGAATCATTCATCCTAGTTTGTTTGTGGGGAGATTAGACAATGTGGCTATTTATTGAGCATTCATTCTAATTTATTATTTCATAAAATTTATATATTGCTTGACTGTAGATAAAATCTCAAAGCAAATACGTGCTCACATTTTACAGTGTATCTCCCCATCACTTTACCTTGTGGTAAAAAGTCCAATTTTGAAGGAATTGGGTATGCTGTAAAAGTTCTCCAAATCAACTTTAAATGCATGGACTGAATTTGCCACTAACTGACTGAATCACACCTGAATATAGCGACAGTCTGGAAGCACTTTGAGACTGGAAGAAACTCTCACCAGTGAGTTAAAGAGAACTGGTTCCTCAACCTCCTTTCATATGCTCCTTTTGCATTTTAAGCCACCTACTTCATTCCTGTTCCATAGGGAACTGGCACAATCAGTTAAAAAACCCACAAAAATACATAAGTACATATATTCAGGTGCCAGGCAAAAACATGTAACCATGGCACCAAGCAAGTCTCCCTCCACAAGTGGGGAGCCACTGCAGGAAAGGCCCGTTTTCAAGTCACAGAGATACATGAAGAAGGGCCTCTGATGATGATCCATAATACCACCATAGTATGTCACAGGAATCTATACTGTGTCCTTATACAGTTTTAATATCTGCAAAAGTCTAGAATTATCAGCAAATTTCATGTGAGAAATAAATATATGCAAGGTAGCTACAACCCAATGAAGTACTAAGGTATGCACTGAAGTCTGTTGAAATCAAAAGGGTTAAGCAAACATTATGTGTTGGAGATAATGTAACCAGTGTTTGAACTACAACTGACAGTATTGCAGTTAAAAGGTACTAAACAATATAAATAACAATATCAGATAACCAGTCTGTACCTTCATGACATCTCGATAAGATTGTATAACTTCAACGTCTCCCTTGTCATTTTCTTCTTCTACTCCTTCATCCAGAGCCTCATAACCTTCATCTTTGCTCCCATCTGCTTCTACAGTGTTGGTCATATGATCAATAAGCTGTTCCAAGGGGGGGCTTAGCTCTCGCTCTTCATTCTCTTTCAAGCCATAGTCCAGTGCTTTATAAATAATAATTCCCAATGATTCTATTACCTGAAAAGAAGGATTACATCATTTTAGATATATTGGTACTAATATTTTGCTACTATTAACTGCTACAATATCAACCATGAAATACATTTTCTGTTATATCACTGTTAAACAGGAAGATATCAAATATAGCACAAAAATGGAAATATCAGTATTAATGAGATGCCAATATTCAAACTCTCTAAATCCTGCTCCTTGTGAGGGTTGTTTTGAAACCACAAGGAAAGAATGAGGTATGTTAGTGTATGCGTTTAATGTTTACACCTTGAACACTAAGACAATGTAACAATGTTGAGCTTATTAAGGTAATAAGAAATAAGATGTACACTATAATTTACAGAAAACAAATGGTTACTTTTTTATATAGCATATTCAGCAAACATACTTTAATATTAAAATGTAGTATGGCTTTTACTGGAGTAACAGCCTTTGTGCCATTTCAGCAGCAGCCACTCTTTCTATGGGATTTCCCCTGTGCAGGGCCAGCCCACTCATGAGGCAAGGTGTGGTGACCGCCTCAGGTGGCAGAATCCACAGGGGCACCAGATCCCAATCTAGAGCTTTATTCTTCTTCTTGTTCCTGATGTAGATGTTTGCTCACCCCTTCCACTCTGGTGGGAAGGGGGGCACCATTTTGTGGTTCGTCTCAGGTGCCAAAATGTATTAGGCCGGCCCTGAACCTGTGCGCCCCAAACGGAAGAGGGGAAAGTTCTAGAATGGGTCCCTACAGCCAAGTGGGGACACCCAGAGGCATACATAAAAAACACTGTTTATTACCATTATTATTAGAATTCCAGACTCACTTGCAAAAGCACACTGCCCCAAACCTACAGGATTAAGACGTGGTCAGGAAACAAACATGGGTAGCAGAAAGTAGCATGCAGAAGCAAGCTTTTAGCAATAGTTAGCCTAAAGAAGAACATGATTGCTCTTACTTCCTGTTCTCCAGCTAGGATCTGAAAGTGATGGGGTCATTACGAATTGGATTTGGAAGACATGTACTCTCAGTTGAACATCTTCCAAGTCCAGTTCCCCCCCCCCCATAATAGGAAATGGCATCATGGGCTGAAGGGGTGAACAAGCCCGCATGTTCCAGACTTGAGCAACTTGATCTCAGCTATGAACATGGCTTCCTAGACCCTCTCCTGAGCCCAAGACAAGCACCTGCAATGGCTTCAAGGTTGAAACAAAATCATTGCAGGTGCTGAATATCTGCCATTGCAGCCCCTCTGTTCAAGCCAAGAAGAGAGATTGTGCTTGATTCCTCTGTAACCACTATTTTATGGACAGCTGGCACTGATATTTCACTCTCTCTGCTTCAGTTGCATTCTTCCAGCTGAGGGATGGATGTGCCCCAAACCACCCCTTCTTTTGCTACAACTGACATGCTTAATGGCGGGCTTGGTCTGGAAACATCTACTTGGCACATTTTTCTTACTTAGAATCATAGAATCATAGAGTTGGAAGAGACCACAAGGGCCATCGAGTCCAACCCCCTGCCAAGCAGGAAACACCACCAGAGCACTCCTGACATATGGTTGTCAAGCCTCTGCTTAAAGACCTCCAAAGACAGAGACTTTGTTTGGTTTAATAAAGGTCATGGACTAAATGAATTATTTTTAGAAGAAGAATATGAGTAATATTGCTGATTTAATTCTCCTGAGAACTTTTACTTTTTGTCAGTCTGTTCCAGTAAATTTTATTGTTTATAGCCAATGGCCATCACAATACAGCATGAGCACAAATCACACAACTATAAAACAAAAGACATTTCATGCACCAGACCAGGACAAATTCTACAATATCCAAAATTTAAAAACATTCCTTCTAGTCAGCATCCTAGGGGTTTGGCACTTGCACTATCCAGAAAGGTTGCCCTTATTTTTCTTGCCACTAGTGCAAACAGTGCCACCCTATAGCTGATGCATTTATGTGATTGCCAGTCATATCACAGACAGTATATGTTTTCTAAAATGAACTTTTAAAAACTATTTTTATTTTTCAGTCATTTTGAAACATGTGTTAATGTTTATAATGCATGCCATTCTCCCACACTTATTACATATAATAGGGCATTGTTTGTGAGCTTGCCCTCTTCCTGAGCTTGTCCATGTTCATAATTAAAGTGACAAAGCTCCAAGGCATAGCTGTACTTATAAACATTAAAAAGGCTGTTTTTCTGCCACACTTGTAATTATCTGACTTTTCCTTGGAGCTGATAATCTCTTTATAAGTCTGAGGCCCAAATAAGTCTGCGGTCAAGAAGAGTCAGAGTAGCTCCAAATATCTTTGTATAAGTTTCTAAGGAGTGGGATATCATCTATAATACCAAGTACCCTTCACCCTGCTGTGTTAAAGGACCTGCCAAGTTCTGCTACGCTTGATTCTTACGTTGTTTGAAAACTAAGGCTGTGTATGTGCCATACATATAAGGACATCACACCCAAAGGAATAAAAGGAACTGTAGTTTGTTAAGGGTGCTGGGAATTATAGCTCTGTGAGGGGTAAACTACACTTCTTATGATGGGGGGGGGGTTAATGTATGGTGTGCACACTGCTTAAGTTTTCTAAGTTGCAGAAAAATTATACCACAGCAAAAGCAGTCACAAACATTCTATTAAAAACAAACAAATCATTCTTCTGCCTAGCCATCCATTTATCTGTTATACACGTCAAAGGAGGTAGCAGGCAGGCCAGTCCCACATACTATGTTTATGCATTCAGCAGACTATCAGAAATGAGAGTACGTACTGGAGAACTTGAAAGGTTGCACATTATTTTGTGGTGTTTTGGATGGCCTAATAAGGGTATTGTCCTAACATTGATAATGTAACACAGCAGCCCTACAGATGAATTGTTGTTGTTTAACAACAGAATTAACTTCCATTTAGGAGTGTTTTCATGCATTCACAGGTGTGATAAAACACTACAGAGGAGCAAGTCACACAATCTAAAGAGTCAGATTTTTCAGGTTGTGGTCCTATGTACTTGAGAGTTAGTCCCACTGAATTCAATGGGGCTAATTGACAATGTAATCCTATATATGTCTACTTAGAAGTAGAGCAGATATGTATAGGATTACAATGTCATTTTGAATGTCCATGACATTGCTAAGCAGTGGTGCATCAATAAAACTGCTAGTGTATTTGCAAAGCTAAGCCAAGCCGGTACAGTTTCAAATTGGATGGGAGACTGCATTGAGATTCCTGTAATGCAGGGGGTTGGTCTAGATGACCCTTGGGGTTCCTTCCAACTTTACAATTCTATGATTCTATATTAAAAGACTAATTTAATGCATCACTGAGATAACAATTTACCTCTCCCCATATGAACTGAACTGGACCCTGAGATCATCATTTGAGGCCCTTCTTCATGTGCCTCCTCCATGAGGGGTCCAGAGGGCGGCAAAATGAGAAGGGGCCTTTTCTGCACTGGCTCCCCATTTGTGGAATATTCTCCCTGGGAAAACTCAACTGACACCTTTGTTACATACTGTTAGGTACCAGACAAAAACATTCTTCTTATCCCATACCTTGGGCTAATTAAACAATCTATGGCCTTTTAAAAGTGTTTATGTATTTGGGGGGGGGAGCATTGTTTCTGTTTGTTACTATGCTATGTATTTTTGTATTTCTATATTGTAAACTGCCCTGTGATCCTTGGATAAAGGGTGGTAGAGAAATATAATAAATAAATAAATAAATAAAATACATTTAGTTTATTCCAAAGCCTAAATAATCAAAACAGCAATTCCAGTAGCACAGACATTATTCTCTTTGTTGGCACATCACTTTTCTTCAACATCCTTGAGAACAGTATGCACAGGGGGAATTAATCTTTGTTTAAACTCTTCGGCTGGAGGACTGTTAATCTTTCTGTTTGGAAAGTACTCATGTGAACTCCCTCAGTAAACCAAGAAACAAGTTTTATTAGAAAGGAGGAGTTATAAAAATATTTAAAGTGCATTACTTTCTTGGTTTATTACCTGTTTAATCTTACTACCTGTTTAATGCAGTCAGATAATTAGAGTGTTTCATCTAGTGCAAAGTTCACTGACATATTTTTTCAGTTTCTGTGCAACATATATCTATGCTAACACTAACTACGACAGAAAGCGAACATTTTGGGAGATAAACATATCTTGTACCTCTTTTTAAGGTATGTCTGCAGTGATTAAAATTCCTAGCATTACTGTGAGTTAGTCCAAACTGAGTGCAATGAGCTGACATATTGGTCATCTTATCATGGATTAGCTGAGCAAATGCAACAAGCTGCGGTACAACCAAACTAGGATATTCAGATTGTTGACAGGCACAGGAATCTATCTGTACTGGATTACAAAAAAGTAGTGATGCTACCAGTGCTATTTACACTCAAATGCACAAAGTCACATTATTCATAAACTAGTGTGTCTGTATCCTTTATCAGGCAATGAAGAATGTGGACACTGGCATAATCTTGTCTCCAGGAAATACAACCTTTACAGGTTTTTAAAAGCAGATTAGTAGATATGTAGTTTCAAATATACCACTTCAATGTCTCCTAAAAATCCACAAGTGATGGGATAAGATCTTATTCAGTAGTAAAGGTAAAGGTAAAGGTAAAGGTACCCCTGCCCGTACGGGCCAGTCTTGACAGACTCTAGGGTTGTGCGCCCATCTCACTTAAGAGGCCGGGGGCCAGCGCTGTCCGGAGACACTTCCGGGTCACATGGCCAGCGTGACAAAGCTGCATCTGGCGAGCCAGCGCAGCACACGGAAACGCCGTTTACCTTCCCGCCAGTAAGCGGTCCCTATTTATCTACTTGCACCCGGGGGTGCTTTCAAACTGCTAGGTTGGCAGGCGCTGGGACCGAACAATGGGAGCACACCCCGCCGCGGGGATTCGAACCGCCGACCTTTCAATCGGCAAGCCCTAGGCGCTGAGGCTTTTACCCACAGCGCCACCCGCGTCCCTATTCAGTAGTAAGGCGGAACATAAATTTGCTCCTTGTTCTGCTGAAC